CGTGATTGCAGTAAAACTATTGAACTGTTCTTTATTAATACTAAATGAACCAGCTTGCAATTCTGCAAACTTTATTATTTGCACGAAGCGCAGTGCTGCCAGATATTGAACAATCGAACTTTTAGAAGATGCATTTCTATTTCTAAATCTGAATTGTAATGTATGTATATAATATATATAGTAAGAAAGTTTGTGTTTTTAAATCTCGGGATCAACCATAGTTTGCGATAAATGAAAACCAGAGAAGCTACGATGTACTAAAGTCGTATCAATAATGTCAAATAAACCAGAGGAGCTACGATGTACTAAAGTCGTATCAATAATGTCAAATAAACCAGAGGAGCTACGATGTACTAAAGTCGTATCAATAATGTCAAATAAATTTGACCTCCTCCTTCTGTCTTATAGTTTAAGTGTGAACTTGAGCTCTGATTGTATTTGTTTTAATACTTATATATTTGTAAATTTTTATCTTTCTGATTGAATAACATTTAAACTTTTAATATCCAATGTTTTAGGTCTATATGTAGTAAACGCCTACTCCATAACAAGTCCTCGAAAGGTATCTATCCAGGTACCACCCGTTAGCTATCAAAGTCAACCAGGACACGATCCAAACGGCTACAATCGGGGAACTACCAAGGTTACTTCCACTGGGCGAGATCTCGTTATCTATCGGTGTCTTAATAATATTTAAAAATCGAGCTCTTGAATGCCACACAGGGACACAAGCGTAGCTATCAAACAATCTCTTAATCAATCTTTACCAAATACCATATTAGATTGTTAATAATAACATAAATTTCCGTTTTGATCAATCTTTACACTAAAAAACAGTGACCGAATTTAAATACCTTAAATACCTACCGCTGGTTTAAATACTGAATCACTGATTCAGATCCTCACAAATCAAGAATCTTTAACTTTAATCAATGATTTAAAATTTGAATCTGCTGCAGACCAAAGTGGGTACTTAGGCAACCTAGCTCATATTTTAAAAAATCGGATTATGGATACCAGTAATTTAAAAGACTGAGTTTTTGCAATAAACAAAAAATGTCTAATCTTTGCAGCCTGATGGTGTAAATCTTTGTTATTTCAGACTAAGATTATTTTATCTAAAAGATTAGCATAAAATATCAAAGGTCTGCAAAATCCGGTTGCAAAGGTAGAGATTACAATATATCAGAGTTTGTTGCAAAAACTCAGTTCCTTTGTATCTAGTATTTCATTTGATTTTTAGATTTCATGTTTAATATGTTGTATAAGTATACTTACATCTGCTCTTTGTATATTTATAATTAAACTTTCTTATCAAATGCTTTTATTTTTTTTTGTGGAAATAAAAATACGCCATGCGTTGTGTTGGTCATTAAAAAAATCTTGAAATGCATTTAAAATGTACAGGCAGCAAGTAGCAACCATAATTTTACAAATGTGAAAATAAAATGAAATAATGCGTAGGCACTAACAATAGTTATATTTCATGAGACATGAACACGTAGAAAGTACAAAGTATACGCAACGTCAATTTTTGAGAATATTGACTCATACTTAATACTGGATTATACACCACAAATGTTTCTATTATAAACAGATGGAAATATCTTAAATAGATTTTAATTTATCTTTTAATCTTTTAATTGTTTTTTTTGTAAAATTATAATTGAGATCTTGAACAATGTTTTAGAGGCTTTGATATTATCTTACTTTAATCTATAGGAACAGACTGAACACCATTTTAGTACCAAGTCCAACCGCTGCGCTCCTCGAGCAATGCAACCAGTCCATGGAGCAGCCATTACAGTTTGTACGAACGAAACGAAATTTAAGCTCCGTTCTTTTCGCGCTCTCGCCCTCCTCTCTTTCACAAGATATCTTTCAGAAGAGGGGAAAAGACCCTCTCTTCACTTTGGGTCCTCCAGGTTGCTTTACCCAGGGCCGGTGAACAGGGTTCACCGGCCATGGGACAGCGGCCAGGAGAACCAGGTTGACCGGCCGATGACAAACTATTCAGAGCTGGTCAGCAGAGTTGACCGACCTAACTTAGCAGATAACAAGACAGGTAGGTCAACCAGGTAGACCAGCCTACCTGAAAACTATTCTTACGAATGTCAGAGGTACCGTCACAGGTTGGTCGACCTCAGGAGGCAGGTATTCAGATCCACCAGGGTAAGGGAGAACCATACAGTTTGGTAGAGGAATTCATACTTAATCCTTTCGCAAAATTCAAGTACAGGAAAGGAGGACACAGGCGGACGGAGACAAAAGCGACCTGGCCTTGAGTGTTCATAGATAAGGTAAGATAATATCATTAATAGAAAATGGCCTCTTTCTTAAGCGTAATTTCAAGGGGCCAAACAGGCAAAGTTGTCGATGTTCGATTCACTTTGGTACCCTTGAAACATTTATGTGATCAATATTGATGAAGAAATTATCGTTCTTCTTCGAGAGGTTAAAAAGTATTTTATATTTTATCAATTGGGACAAATAAGATGCTTTGAAATGTAAATGTGGATGCTTTGGGTAACTTATAGCATAGCCCAACCATTGGAAATCTCTAAAAGGGACTATAAAGCAAAAATGAAAGGGTAGGATACATTTAAAACAACTATCTGTTTTTATCAAGAAATTGATAAAAACTGTGTCAAATTTATACAAAAATTTATACATATGAAATTTTGTATAAAAGTTGTAGCATTAAACAGATCATATAAAAAAAATACGTGTATGTAATCCTTAACTTACAACAATAGATAATATTAAATCTTCACCCTTTTCCTGCTGGGGTACTTGAAAACCAGGATATGCTGGGGGGGGGGGTCAATTTGACCCCCCCCTCTAAATCCCATGTTTTATGTCCAAATATGACAAATGATACATCATTGGAAAGCTCTTGTGCTCTACTTTTATAATCTGCAAAAAAATTTGCAAATTTGCAAAAATTGAATTTTTTATCGCAAATTCCAGTTATGTAGTAAAAATGTTTGCAAAAAAAAATTTGTCCAAAAAATGAAAAATCATACATTTTTGAAAAACCCTTGACCATGCCATTTCAAATATGCAATAATTTTTGGCAAAATTTTAAATAACCTGATTTTTAATCAAGAAAAACTAAAAATGTGCAAGTTTCCTTTGACAGGTTGTTTGCAAAAAATTTGCAATTTTTTTGTGCAAAACTTGTGCAACCCTTTTCCTTATGTCATAGGCTTTCCAAAAAACTAAATTTTATCATAATCTGACAAGTGAAAGTGGGTCAAAACAAAGATTTAGTTTGTTACAGGCAAAAGCAGTCATTCAGGCAGTGTGCCTGAGGACTCAGGCAGTTAGTATTAAAGCCCGGTTTTAGGCCTACAGGGAGGGCTTTGGGTATGTAAGAAAAGTCAGAAAATTTCAACAGCCTCAGACCAATACTTTTTGAGTTATGTAAAAAAACTACAGCAGGAATAGGTTTAATGTTTTTAGAAAGATTTTACGAATTAAAGCAGTGTGGTTAAAAAGTGTGTTTTTAAAACTGAAAAATCAAGATAAATTTAACCTCTCTAACAAGAAAGCAGGTCTGATTAAAGAAATCATAATAATTGCATGCAGTGCATACTATTCATTTATAATTAGATTCGCTTATTGGAGGCCACAAGCTATTCATTGGAGACCACAAACTTTTCATTGGAGACCACAGACTTTTAGTCGGAGAAATCTTAATTTTGAATCACAGACCCCAATTGCAATCTCAGCAGAGATGAAAATTGGGAATTTCCAGAGAAAAAGATCAAGAAATCTAGATAAACCAAATGTAAATACAGTACAGCCTTTTGCATTAAATAGAATTTCTAAAAAGATTTCAAAAGTTGTTAAATTATCTTAGAATTATATATTTTGAGTTGTCTAACTTTTAATAACTTTTCTTGATAAAGTGTTTAAAGGGAGTGTCTGGCTGGACAGGGTAGTTGTAAATGAGAATGCAGTATCGTAGAAAATATTTTTAGAAATCAGGATGTCCTAACAAACATTGAAATTGAGAGACGACGTGAAAGTTGTCTTTGATTTCTGATATTTAATTAATGGCAAAGGAAGTATAAATATACGGCTGTGTCTGAAAAATTTACGAAAATATTTAATAATCAGTCAATTTTGATTTATTAAATAAATTGAAAGTACAAATTTTGCAATATATTCGTCAATGGTAGACCTCATTTTGAAAATCTCAAGACCAGGCGTTTTCAATGTTAGATGTTTCAACTGGAATGAGCAATTATTGTTTTCATAAAAAAGGTACATGAATTGAAGACTATATAAAAGTTGTCACTTAATTCCCATGTTTATTGAGACACCTTGTATAAGACGTTTGTTTCTACCGCAACTTGCCTTTCTGGTAGTGACGCCTATCAGGATGAGGTCCTGTACGCCTGCCTGGCGGTTTGAACAATCCAGGAGGATTTTAAAGATTCAATTTTCACTCTTTCTGAATGATTATACACCGTACACTTAAACGTCTTTAATTTCTTTACAATTCTGCATTCTCATCTCAACTACCATGTCAAGTCAGACACTCCCTTTAACGCCAATATTTTTTTCCCACTAGAATTGATAGATAGACTAAAAACATCACAAAAATCAAGGGTGTAATGCAAGGAAAGTTAATTGCGGTCGTGTATACTCTGTTTATACAACGAAACCAGTTCTCTTTGGGCGGAATTTGTAAAAAAGAATAGATGCATCAGTGTTCGTTTAGTATCCGAGGAGGTTAAAAGCATTAATTTTTGATAATTTTGATAATTCACATAATAGTTTCCTATGACCAGAATATTTCATTGATTTTTTTTATGTGAAAGATGGATCCCATGTTAGACTTTGACATCCGTCTTTTGTTTACATTACCGCCCAGAGACAGTACACTGCAGTACAAAAGATGTGTATACTTCTGAAATAACTTTCCTTCCATTACATCCATGACAATAATGGCCTTCTATGTTTACCACAATAATAATTTAATGAATATGTAAACATATGATATTTATTCTTGAAATACATTTTACATAAAAATGATAAACTAAGGCAGATATAACTATCAAAGATCTGTTATCTATAACACAAATGTAGCTAGTGACTTAATATACTTATACATATATAATATATAATACTTAAAACTTATGAGGTAAATATTCCACCCTCAACTAAGTTTTCATAGCGTACTGCAGCAATTTGCAGTACACTGACTGAAAAATAATCAGATTTAGTGCGGAGAGTGATTAGGTTAGTGTTATTCCACCGTTAGCAGCAAACTGTTGTTGAAGCCAGGCATTGTAGTAAGCCACATCAGCATATATTCCATAACTACCAGCCTATACATAAATATATGTTTAGGGTTTCCATTATTCTAGAATCAAATTTCCATCTTGGAAATGGAATGATTCGGAGTTTAGTATAATTCTGGGATAACTCCTGATCAAATGGAAACTGGAATGCTTACGGGTTACCTAACATAATCCAGAAATTTGTCCAGTTTACAAAGTAGAAACCGAAAAATTCCCAGTTTTCATTTTGTAACCCAGTAATGTGTACGGTTTACATAACGTAAACCATAAAACTTCTAGTTTCCATTTTATAACCCAGAAATTTTTCCGATTTATGTGACAAAACAATTTTTATTTTTATTTATTTAGAGCCAGGGTTGACATGGATAGTGGACTGGTTGTGCCTGAACTGAAACAGTTTGGGGGACGAACTTTTAAGAGTACGTCATTTACTACATAAACACTTTGCTTTCTATCTTGATGTTTGTATCCAATAAATGTTAAAACAGCTGGAACAATCAGCCCCAAATTTTGTGTGGGACCTTACATGACCCTGGGAAGGTTAAGGGATGTTCAAAATTTCATAAATTAGCCTCAAATCAAATTCTATTTTCATTGAATTGTGAAAATCCAGGAATTTCTTATAAAATCCGCAAAGTTTTGTTTCTTATTATTTTGGCATTTGCCATTCTATGTTGCGCGCTCATGACCCGTAAAATTCCAAAACTAAGAGAGGAGGATTGAATTTTGTAGATCTTGAAAAATAATATCTGTGGGATGTCTGCGTAGAGACAGGCAGCTGGTGGAGTCTTAATGTAAGACATGTTGCCGCAACACTCGGCCCCCTAGCCTGTCCTAGTCGCAGCGCTCAGCCCAGAAAGTGTCATAACTTAACCTAACCCGTGGCCGCAGCGCTCGGCTCCCTAGCCTGTCCTAGCTGCAGCGCTCGGCACAGAAAGTGTCTTAACCCAACCTAACCCTAAATAAATACTAATTTCTGGATCTACAAAATTCAATCCCCCTCTCTCTGTTTTGGAATTTTAAGGGGCATGTGCGCGCAACATAGAATGGCAACTCCCTATTATTTTACAATCTATACAATGAGAAAATGTTTACAATTGAAATAGAAGATGGGCTTAAAGTATCCTGAAAGCCTAGTATATCTATACTTTGCTTGTCTGTCCGTTAAAATCTAATTATCAAAACGTCTGAACCAAATGGGCCCAAATATTTTGTGGGACCTCAAATGACAACAAAAAAAAGGTTTATAGAATTTGCCTTAAAAAAATACGATTTTTCAAAATCCACAAAAAATTGATTAACCTTTGGAATTTTGTTGTTGTTTTTATTTGATAATTATAAAAGTTAAAAGTTAAAATCGAAGATGAGTGCAACCTGCCCTGGAAGCCTAGTTTTAATTTATGGCATTATAGTATTTTTATCTAGCATGTTAGTCTTTATATCAGGAATATTATTAAATGAGCAAAAAATATTTACCTTTGCACAACCATCACCCCAACTGACAACTCCTGCCAATGAATGAGTGTTGTTTGCATCAGGAACTGTGAACGGACCTCCACTGTCTCCCTAAAATCAGCAAATCAGCAAGATTTGATAATATTTGATTCAACATAAATCTACTGTTATAACAGAAGCATTGTATTATTTGATTGAATCTTATGAGAAATAAGTTTACAAAAATAGCATTTTGTGGTTTAAAAACCTAGAACTGTCTTAGATCAGAGGACGGAACATTTGTGTGGAGAATTGTTAATCTTGAACTTGTGTTCTCTAAATCCTCCGCGCGCAGGATATTGAAAAGGAATTAAATTGATTTGTAGTTCTGAATAGCATAGAGAATCATTCTTGATCCCAAGATTCAGAACTCAAAATACCCGACTTCAGAGCTGGCAACTCTTGGATTGTGAATATCAAGATCAATGTTTGATCTTGATCTTTTGTTAATCTTCAGATTAATTAAATTTTTTTCAGTTAGTGGATGAATAACTAAAATTAAGATATGGAAAGTTAAAGACAGCTTCAATCCTTTAATTGAAAGTGCACAATAGTAGATAATAAGATAAAGCAACCTGGATTATTAATATACAACACAAAAGTTGCCAGCTCATGTTGAACAACATTTAGCGCACTTTTCGCTACAATTCCTATAGCTCTGAAATGTACTTACTTGACAAGAATCCTTTCCTTCTACTCCTCCTGCACACAGCATACCATCAAGAATCTAGAAATTAGTAGTTAATTAGAATTAAATAGCAAGTTTTTACTCCTGCGTTAGAGTTTCCGGGGACCTAATTTAATCAATTTAAACTGCATCGCTAAAGTACCATCTGCCAATTCAAATTTGAACCACTGAACCATACCAATTCAAAGTTTAAGAATGTTTGAAATCAGTGGCAATAAGAAACTCAATATGAATAATCTCTTTTTAAAAATTTTTTTAAAGTAACACAAATCCCATTGTGAACATTTCAGAAGGACGAAAACCAATTTTTTGATCATTTCATAGTTTCTTGAAAAACAAGAAATATGCTTAAAAACTTAATGTCACATTAAAAGGTTACAACTATACTATGGTCTTTAAAATTTAAAAATTTACCGAACTATCAAAAACAGTTTTACAAGTAGGAATGCTGACAACATCTTGGTTAACTTCCAATAGCTTGTTAGAGGTCTGTCCACCAAACGATGTTGTACCCCAACCTTTATATAACATATTCAAGTTATAATCAAAAGTGTTTTATATAATTATTTTCAAAGTTATTCCACAGAATTCACTAAATCAAGTTTGCTTACAAAACATCCAGAGTGCAGCAAGAGATGTTTTTTCCGCAAAATTTGTCGATGGGTCGCAAGGAAAGAAACTTGATTTTATGTCCCTCTGTTTGGTATCATAATTCAGAAATGTTGGCCAAAATGCGGTAATGTTGGTAAATGTGGAATTTCACAGCTACTTTACAGGGAAGTTAAGGGAATTTAACTTTAAAAGAGGTTACCACGGGTTATTTTGCATACAAAACATCCAGACCGCAGGGAGGGATCTTATGTCATGCAAAATTTACAAAATTTTATCGTCTTTTTCATGAGATGACAATGCCAATGGACGATCTTTTCACATAAACTTTGTAGAATGGTTTTTTTTTTAATAATCATCCCAATGGACGTTAGGTAACTTAGCGCCCTATGTTGGGGGAATCGTAGGTCGATAATGTAAAATACATAATTCTAAGATAGAAAATTTACCATAAACTGTTCCAGTTTTCCCAACAAACGATGTCCCAGTAGGTGGTAAACATGCTGGAGTATAAATCTTCAGATCAGCCTGGCAAACATTATTCATATTTATTTTGATATTTTGATATTTTGATGGATGAAATTTCAAGTGACCCTCCATTTAAAAAAAAATAATGACCTGTATGATTCACAATGGAAATCTCTATCAAATAATGAGGTAAAGTATTGTTGTTTTTCTATCATAAACTTTGTTGGATTCTGACAATTTCATTTATAATCTCTGAATAGCTTAAATGTGAAAGTCACCTTTAAAGAGGAACTAGAATATAAAATAATCAATTTTCCAAGAGATAAAGTATGATATCTCATTTATCCTTGATCAGACAAAGGCTAAAAGAGTATTTTATGAATTCTTTTATTTTTTCATAAAAATATCACCTTTGTACTGAGCTTGAGAAGAGCAATGTCATCTTTAAATGTAGCCCGAACATATCCTGGATGTGTAATAATCTTCTCAACAAAAAACTGCTTCCTAAATATTAAATTATTTAGCATTTTGGGTCTGTGATGATTATGAAATATGTAAAATATAAATACATATTTTTATCCTAACAGTCCAAAAATAACGTTGGGGCGAATCAGAGTTTAGAAAAATTGGAAACCCGGGTCGTTCGTCAATTGCATGGGCAGTACAAAATGAAATTATTTTCTTTCAAAATGTTATGGTGCACGTACAACAACAAGAAAATGGAGATCTAGAAAACCAGAAATGTTAAAATATTTGCAGCTGCTTTTATCTAATTATTATCAGAATTTTGCTAAAATTAAAATTTAGAAAACAAATATGTTTTAAAAAATGTTTAGGCGATTTTAGGGCATGGTGTTCATCAACTGTTGATAGCCAACCAACTAATAAAATAACAAGACAACATATATTAATGATTTATATATTTCCGAACCTGATCTGTGTTTCTGTAGTTGAGATTCGATCATGCTCTCCAAGAACAACAGATATTTGGCTTGTTGTGATTGCTTGGTCCTACACATATTTCTATATAAATATAAGAATATTAATCAGAATGTCTTGTTTTGAATTTTTGCAAACCTGTAATGCTAGCTTCTGTGAGTGTAAACATAATCTTAAAGGAAATATTAGCGTAATTGCATGTGACCTGCTGGCCTTTCTTTGAAACCATAATCTAATCAATAATATGATAGATGCCTCAAAAAGTGTTTATTTCTGTGATTTTCTCCATTGCATCTTAAAAACAAAAATTGCGGAAGTCACTTTTGCAGAGAATCCGTACAGAAAATTAACAGTTTAAAGAAATAAAAATATTGATATCTTATTCATACTTGATCAAACAAAGGTTTGAAGGGTACCAATGTACATCCATAGAAAAAGATAGATTGCGCATAAGACGACATTTTTCATCTTGAAAGATATAAATGTACAGAAATGTTTGAAAGATATTCCAATTATATAGATTAACTAGGTCGGTTGTGAACATTGGCTGTTGTTATGTCATTGAGTACTTGTGGTGTACATGAGTTCTGTAGAGAGAAATTTAAGTTAGTTTAGTCCTTCTCATGTCCTTCTTCAGTTCTCATCAACATGATATATTGCTCAGTAAAATATTGTTGTTCAAATAGGTCCATTCCCGGAGTTATTTTACACTCTATTATGAAATCCATTAAAACACCAAACCACCCCGGCCGCTTATCATTGAAGTACACTTTGACCCCTGGAAGTATGAGTTCGCGGACTTTACAATTCTTGGTGATTTTGTGAACTTAAGCTATCTATGTTTATTTATTTATCTATGTGTCCATCGTGCCTGTAATCTTTACATGGTGTCACTTGAAATTATAGTTACAGTCCCTTTCAAACATGTTGTTACCTGGTTTGGTCCATCTGTAAAAATACAATGAGAAGCCGTTACAACCCACTCTGCTGAAACTAGGGTAGCTCCGCATCCATAGTAACCTAAAGTCATATTATGTGAAAAGAATTGAGTCTTTGTAACAAACTCTGATTTGCTAATACCTATATTTTTTCCACCTGATGGTGTAAACCTTTGATATTTCAAACTTAGATTTTTTCATCTAACAGAATTCATAGTTTGAAATATCTACGGTCTACGACATTTCGTTTTAAAGAAATTGGGATTAAAACCTTTGATATTTCAAACTTAGATTTTTTCATCTAACAGAATTCATAGTTTGAAATATCTAAGGTCTACGGCATTGGATTACAAAGATATAGAGATTAGAAAATCATAGTTTGTGACAAAGACTCAATTTCTTTAATAGAATGAAGTCTTAATAATAAATATTAGGTCAGGACATTAGAGTTGATAATGCAGTTTGTGGGATTTTTACCGAACGCAAGATATTGCAATTGCTTTGCTTATTATCTTTGCGAGGGGGGTTTGACAAATCTATTGAGTGTAATTATGATGTGTGCACTGTGCGTAACTGCTTAAAATCATTTTGCACAATATTTGCATTATCACTTGTCCACCAGAATAGGAACGGAATTTTCACTTGTTTGAAATGTATAAAAGCCTAAATGAAAGCAAATCCATTGTGCATTCCCTAACTGTAGGTAATTGAACGCAATATATAGTATTGCTTTTTAAAGCTTGGGTTTCCATTTAAAGAGACTATAAGCTTAACTTTACATGACTCTCCACCAAAAAGATGGCAATGCCTGATTTACACTGGTACCCTTGAATAAACATGGAGTTTGAAATTATACTTTATCAGACAAAACTTTTAAGGGTACCATTGTGAATCAGATATTACCATCTTTCCATAGAGGCAAGAGACTTAAAATTATGCATACAGTCTCTTAAGAACAATCAAAGGGTACTTACTTCCCTGAGGATTAGCCATCATAACCATCCAAGGGTACTCATTCACCTGAGTAAAATATGTTTTTAAAAATCAGAACATTTTTTAGTTCGAGATCTTTCTTTCACAATCAAAATTTATCATAATTATTTGACAGATGTGAAAATTTGAGTTATGAATCTAAAAGTTTTAACCCACCTGTGTTTCTACGCCTCCCACAATTTTTGTGCCAGCCTTCTTTACACCACATTTGACTTGTGCAGCAGTTGTTGTTGTGGTGGCTGTTGTTGTTGTTGTTGATGATGTTTTTGTGGTGGTCTTTGTTGTAGTGACTGTTGTTGTTGTTGTCACTTTTGAACAAAAAATATTATCATCTCATCTTTTGAATGCAGATTAAATTTATTAATTTCATTTGTCCGGAAGAAAGCGTGTTATTTAAATAATTAAAAAAAATGTGCAATAAGCTTGTAGAAAATTGTTGTTAATTAACTGATTTGTTCTTTAAAATTTATAAGGTAAAGATGAAAAGGTTTTACAATTGGCTGTTTGGCTTAATTTATATACAATTTTAAAGATGAATTGTTGCAAAAACAAAATAAAGGGATTTTAATATTATTCTTGCAAATTAAAGATATCTCACATTTCCAGTTTGAATTTTCTATATCAATTGGAAATAGACAAAATTTGTGCGACACATAAATGTAAACACAATAATTGTTTTTATCAACATTGTTTCATATATATATATAAATATATAGGGTTTCCAAGATTTTGCTTGAGCACAATTCCACGCAATTCCACGCAATATGAGAACAGGTGCGTTCAGTTCTGCACAGTTACGCAGAACTGATTTCCAATTGGAAACTCTAGTTATCTAGCTTTATATGCTATTTTAGTAGTTCTACTTTTTTCAAATTTATAAGTTTAATTATCACCTGGTGCAGAGGTAGTGGGGTTTTCAGTCAAAGCTAAATAAATGAAAATGATTATATTTTATATCATATAAAAAATGAACTTGAATGCTTATTAGGGTGTCAAATTTATTCCAGATCAATTTGGATTCATCCAAAGGCCTTTATAGGGAATCTTTCCTGATGCTGTTAAGAATGATAAACCATTTTTTTTTGGGGGGGGGATTAATGGTGGAACGTTTTTTTAATCAAATTATGACTAAATCTACCTCTTTGATGCTCTACAGAGCTTGGCGTTACAAGGTGAAAATGTTTAGGGGACTATTGTCTGGATCTATTCCATATGGAATAATTGTCCAGTGAACTTTTTCAGAATGTCACACTGTCTAAGGGGTAGATTTTTTTGACAATTAGTTAAGTTAGGTTTTGCCCTTAATTTCTAAAAGTTTGAATGGTGTTAATAGTCAGGAAAGGTTACAGAAGGCATTTACAAAACCAAAAGGATCCGAAAAAAAATTAAAAACCCTTTTGCTTATTGAATACCTGCATAATCAGCTTGAAGTGTCGCTATTAGCTGTTTCACTAGAAGAATGATTTGATCCAGGATAGTCAACAAAGTTTTCAGGCTTGTTTTTTCTGTTGCTGTGCAACTAACAGTTACTGTTTCAATAGCAAGAGCGTTTACTGCAGAACTGGAAGAACTTGATGTTGGATTGTTACCAGCATTGTTAACAACTGTTTCAAATGTTTTGATGTAAACAGTGCAAGTAACAGCTCTGGTACCAATTCTTCGGATATCTCTGGTTTTTCTTGCTTGATTAGCAATTGCTGTGGCAGCTGTCTTCAATTTTTCTAGAGCCTCCGAAGTAGCTGTAGCTGCATCTATTTTCTTCTTAACGTCTGCGGGGGATTTTGCACAGTTGGCAATTACTTGAGATGCCTCATCTTGAAGTCCTCTACATTCAGAAAAGGCGGCAACACAACTTTTTTGTGTTTTTGTAACATCTGCATTTAGTTGTGCAATGTTGCATGGACTAAACTTGGTGTTGAGAGTCTCCAGGTTTGGGTCTTTCCAGCATGTGCAGATGTCAGCAGTTTTTTTTGTACAAATATCCACAGCGTCTGAGAAAGCTTTTGCATCTGTAGCACATGTATCCAGAAGAGTAGCATTTACAGTAGGTAAAGCTGTCTCACAAGCTTGCTTGATATTGTCTTGGCACCTGGTTAAGCTGGCAACAATAGCTTGTAATCTTAAAGTTGCTGGCGAGGTACTGTTTCCAGAACAAACGAGTGCACTGGCATTTCCACCTCCAGACTCTCTAAGCTTGACAAGAAGTGGAAGAAAATCACCTTTCTTATCACCCTTACTTTGCGAAAGTTTGACAAACCTTTCAATTCTTGCCTTCTGCTGATTGAAATTCTTAATCTTGTTGCCAACAATATTCATGTATTTTGATACATTGGTCAAACATGATTCATCTGCATTACATGTTTGTCTGACCGACTTCACTTTTTTGTTGCTTTTTTGACTTTTAACTCTTCTTGACTTTTTTGCATTCTTCTTTTTTTGATTTTTCAGTTTCCTTTTTTGCCTCTTTTCCAGTTTTTTAGCTCTCTTTGAGACTTTATTTTTCTTTGTTTTTTTCTTTTCTTCCTTTTTCTTCGTTGTCCTTTTCCTTTTTTTAATGCCTTTCTTACTCGTTTCAGCTTTCTTGCTTGAAGAGGGTTCCTTGTTGCCTTTATTTTCTTTTACACTAGTTAATCCCCAATTCACGTTATTATCTTTGACAGCAGCTGTTGGAGCTTTAATAAACAAATTAATTAAAAACAAAAGAACAAATTGTGAATAATCTTTTTTTGAATTAAATTTTTTTTCTTATTTAGAACAAATCTACTAAAACCCTCCCTATTCTCTATTTTCGTTATTTATCAATATTTATCAGTTGTAAAAGTGAAAAGAGTGTCAGTCCTGTAATTTTCTTTAAGCTCACAAAATCGATTCTGAGCTTGGAACTTTTGTGTTAGAATACCCATAACCTTGATCGCTTGATATGAATATCCACAGTGGGCACCTTTTATTGAAGATTAATGCTTAATTTCTTCATTTTAGTTTTCCCATCTGTGTACAATTACACTGAGGGATATCGAATAAAGATTAAATTAATCTGTTGATTAACAAAAGATTGAGATCAAGCATTGATCTTGATATTCACAATACAAGAGTTCCCAGCTCTGATTAGTTTTTCAGATTGTTCCATGTTAATTGATCTATGCTATGACAACACTTGCAACTTGCAACACTCCTTATATTGCAACAAAGAATTAAACAACATCAACCATAGTAAAATCAAATATTTAAAGCGGGGAATTATTGTGTGGAGTATCCATAAAATCTTAAATGCTTGATATCCAATCCAATTGTGACCCTTTTAAATGTAAAGATGTATGTCCTTCAGTTTAGTTATCCCTGCACTGTCTGACTTGACCAACATGAGAAACCAAAGAGTAATAAAATTAATCCGTAGATCTTGAGTTTTTGAAAATAAACATAAGAGTCTGTTAAGGAGGGGTCAACAACCGGTAATTTTAAGATTATCAACAAACAGAAATAGCTGTTCTGGACAAAAAAATAAAAAAGAAAGACATATATGTTTTTGCAAATAACAGCAAATCTTACAGAAAATAAATCTGATGTATTTCCGAGATATCTTTGATTAATGCAGTTGCTAAAATAGAGATTGTTAATGAACTGAAACTCTGAAAGAAAAAACAGAAGTACAGAGTTATGATAGGGAAACTTCAGTTCTATAGCTACAGATTTATTGGTTACCAGAAAAGTGAATTTTTTTCTTTTCATTTTAATTCAATTTTTTAAATGCTAAAAATCTTGTAAGTAAAACTTATCTATAGCATTTTGTATGCATAACAAATCTACCAAAATCAACTCTATTCTATATTTTTTTTATTTCTTAATACTCAGCAATTGTAAAAGTCAACAGATTGCAATTAATTTATGCCTGGATTCCCTTATTTTCTTTTTAATAGAGACTTTCATTCATTTTCAAAAAGCTGTTTTTTTGGTTTGCAACAATTTGTATTGACTCTGGTCATTCTTAAACTTATTTATGTAAAATCTTTGTTAAAACTATCTCTTTAAAAGGACCATTCACTGTATGGAAATATTGGTGCGGAGTCTGATTGTAAGTTCGTACGGTAATTTTCTACTGAATTTGATTGTTGGAAAACAATTTAATACCTATAATCAGTGCTTTGCAGTAACTAATAGACTTTTCCTGTAGCCTCTGTAACTCTTACTTATCCCCTCCTCCCCCCCCCATTCATTTTTAAATTGACACAATTTGATGAAATAGGGCTTAAAATAATGATCAATAGATCATAAAGAAAGGGCTGCATTATTTCAGATTTATCCAATCTCCCAAGTTGCTTTACTTATCTTTGAGTATTTCCTTGAATATGAAAATATTACTTGCTAGTGCCACGAGAGTTAGCCCTACAAGGACCAGTACTAGTAGCTTGAACATTGTAGACCTACTGAATACACCAGACAACTACATCCTACAGATATATAAAGATGAATTTGAGGCCAAGATAATTAGAACCTGGAACATTTGTTTATAACTATTCAGTTCATCATAATTATTCGACCGTATAAGTACTAAGTAGGGATGGGAAGATTTCATTTTTAAATGCATTTTTCATTGTTATGTTAAAATGAAAAATATTCCAAAACTAAATTATCTTTTTATTGTTTACCTTTATAAAATTTTAATCGGGGTTTTACTGTTCAAATATTAACATCCCCCCCCCCCCTTGCTACTGGTTTGGAGGAAAATGAGTTTTTAAGAAAGTATAGACCCCTGAAGTTTGTGCTTCAGATTAAACTATTTTCCATTGATTCCTAATTTTTTTTTCACCAGTACATGATAATCTAGTATTTTTTTCTTTTGCAAAAGTAGGGTTTTTATTGATCTGCCAAGGGTTGAAATCTGGCAGCACATTCATCCTTCCAAGCTTCATTCATTAGTGGGATAGGTCAAAAAGGCCTATGGTAGGCTAGTTACTGAAATAAGCCTGGCTGCGCATTACGCAATCAAATTTGAAACCGAGCCAGCATATGATAGGGTTAGGCCAGTACTTGCTGCGCATCATTTAGGCTTGTACATTCAAGGGGTCGGTCTGGTTCAAATTTAAATTGACCTTAATCTACCGTGTGAGGAGGTTGAACTGGTTTTTGTAGTTATGGAATAAGGCCCAATCCCTTTTGCCTTTTCGCCCTTTTGCACTTTCACCCTTTCGCCCTTTCAATGATGGAGTTGTTGTAGGGTTTCCATTCGCAAAACTTTTGCGCAATTTTTGCGGAACGAAACGCAATATTTTTCTTTCTTTGCGCATCAATTTTGCGCGAAAAAACAACAATTTGCGCAATCATTCGCAAAAGTCATTTCGCACAAAATTGCCCTATTCCGCTTTTGCGAAACTCAAGTTTTGCGCAATTCCGTAACAAGGGTTTTGCGCAAATCCGCAATTTCGTAAAAATCAAACGGTTGGTGACGGTGTGTGTTTCTTAGAATTCAATTCTGGAAAAATCTTGTTTTGGAATGTCTTCCTATTGGTCACTTTTACATAATTGACCAATGACAATTAAGAAGAGTTCAAATCTCACAATTTTCTCGACAATTTTAGTTTTGGACATGCATATTTCCTAAAAGTGGATTCTTCAGGCATTGGTTACAGTCTTGCATTATTTTATATGAGATTAAAAAGATTTCAGAAATTTGATTAAACAAATTTAAGAATACAATTCATACTCATGATTAAGCAAAGCTTTTAAGGCCGGGTCACTTGAAATTATTTAATAGGATTAAAATATTGCCAAGTTTCACACTCTCTAATTTCTATTTTATTAATTTTGGTCCCTTAATTTAAACTTTTTGTAACTGGAAGTATAATCGTTATCATACTCATATGTTAATATTTTTTTTGTATATGGAATAAATCTTCAGTTGTTTAATTCTAAGCTTAGAATATCAATTTTTGACAATGTGCCTAAAAAGTTACATTTTGCGTAAAACTTGCGGTTTTGCGCAAATTGCGCAAAACTAAAATTTCGTTTCATGCGCAACTTTCGCAAAAAATATTTCCGGTTTTGCGCAATTGCGCAAAATAAATAGCGCAAAACCGCGCAAAACTCATTGCGTTTCATGCGCAAAAATAGCGCAAAAGTTCGCAAAAATAAAATTTGCGCGAAAATAGCGCAAATTTTGCGCAAAAGATTTAGCCATTTCGTGGAAACCCTAAGTTGTTGACAACCGCCCCTACTTCTGCTAAGTCGTTTGAACCTGCCAACCAGATCGTATCTATGTAGTTTAAGCATGTTAGGTTCTTTCCCACAGGCCTTTTTCCAAGCGGCAACTTCCCATGGATATTTTCCCAAGTGGCATCTTCCCAAATGTGCAATTTCCCAAGCGGAAACTTCCCAAATGTACATTTTTCCAAATGACAACTTCCCAAGTGGCAACTTCCTCATAAAGAAAAAGCGGCAACTTCCCAAATGTACATTTACCCAAGTAACAATTTCCCTAGTGGCAACTTCCCTATGAAGGAAAAACGGAAACTTCCCAAATGTACATTTTCCCAAGTAACAATTTCCTTAAATAATTTACTGCATTTTCTTTAAAACAAGGAATAGCCGCCGCACTCGGCCCCTAGCCCATCCTAACCACAGCGCTCGGCCTCCTAGCCCATACTAGCCGGAGCTCTAGGCCACCTATGTAGCCTGCGGCGCCTCAGACTCCTAACCTAACCTTAAATAATTCATGTTTTAACTTGTAATCTCAAATTTCTAAAGACAGCTATAGACCTTTTTCAGTCTTTGAAACAACCTTTATTACCGATTGTAAAATGTCGTTAAACTCTGACGAAAACAGCAAAAAAATTACTATATAACTGGATTTTGCGATAAAAATTTCAGTTTTTGCAAATTTGCAATTTTTTTGCAGATTCTAAAAGTAGAGCACAAGAGCTTTCCAATGATGTATCATTTGTTGTGTGAAATGGATTCCATGTCAGGCTGTGACATCCGTCTTGTGTTTACTTTTCCGCCCAAAGACAATACACTGCAGTACAAAAAATG